TATCTATCTATTTATTTATTTATTTTTTGCTGTCTTGAACATTTTTACTCCATGTCTAATTTTAACTTGTTTCAACTACTTTTAGCTGATTTTAGCTACTTTTTTTTCTGTTTTCAGAAAAAATTTTAACCATTTTATTGCCATTTTGCTACTGATTTTCACTTTTGTTTTCCTACTTTCAGGAAAAGTCATCTGTTCAAATTCAACTCGGATTAACAGTTTTGCTAATAAACATTTTCAGCCTCATTTCATCACCTTTCTGCAAAAATCTTTCAGCATTAAACATCCCTATTTTGATTTGTTTTCCTTCCTATTTGTTTTTTTCCGGCATGATGGCTCAGTCGTGCTGATGCCTCTCAGCAAGAAGGTTGCCGGTTCAAATCCCGGCCTGAGGACCTTTCTGGGTAGAGTTTGCATGTTCTCTCCGTGTATGTGTGGGTTCTCTCCAGGTACTCCAGCTTTCTCCCACAGACCAAAAACATGACTGTTAGGTTAATTGGTAACTCTAAATTGTCCCTAGGTGTGAGTGAGAGAGTGAATGGTTGTTTGTGTCTATGTGTGTCCCTGTGATGGACTTGCGACCTGTCCAGTGTGTACCCCGCCCCTCGRACTGTGACTGCTGGATAGGGGGATCAGTGACCCTGAAAGGAATAAGCGTGTACAGATAATGGATGGATGGATTGTTTTTTTCCACCATTTGTTAGAACATCCACATAATGATACAGAACATCACATTTTGTGGGGAAATTTAGCTGTTAAGCAATTTAGTCTGTGTTTAAGTTTTTATCCACAGGGACTCACATTAGCACTGAATACAGATAAGTTGTTTGCTAACTTATTTAGCATCTGTCAGAACGCCTCTCATCAAATAAAGTTCAGCCTCACAGGCCAGCTGAGGCTGTCAGGAAGCCAGTGTCTTCACTCCCACATTACTCGTGTCCCTGCTGGTCAGCATCACAAAACTTGAATAGGTCACTTGTGGAAAGTTAGTGCTATATGACACTCATGCTGTGTGTAACTTGCAACATTATCACTGCTTCTTCGTCATTTCTTTTGCTTTCGTGATGCAGTGATGAGAAGTCAAAAACTTTGAAAATCAGAAATAATGCAACATATTTGCTTTTTTTCTTCCATACTCCACACATGGYATTAAACAAACTTAACATTCATACAAGCATTGCGACATTACTGTCCCTGCAGGAGTAGGACTTATGAAGAAACAGGTAAAAGGCTTCAGCTGGGGTGAACATTGATGTTGAATTATCATATGAAGGGTTCTTAACTCTTACTGAAAACAGATTTATTAACATTTCTGTCCACTGAAAGGCCTTTATGAATGTTGCACACACTGGGATTGAGCAAGAAAAGAGCAGCAAGAGATAATTATGACACATACAAGCACATATATTTGTGTTATTTTCTTGGTTCTTCCTTCTAATCTATTTTTCTATAATTTTTCAAGTGGAGGAACCCTGTTGACCGTTACTGGAACCAATCTGGCCACCATTAAGGAGCCCCGAATGAGAGCCAAGTATGGATCTGCACAAGGAGAAAATGTAAGTGTTCAGACTCGAACACCTGCTCACATTACTTTCCTTTTTGGATCAAACAAAACTTCCACAATGACTTGGCAAATGAGACCACAAACTTTCAGATTATGCTCACACTTCTGGCACACAGACACACACCTGACTTGTCGATCAACTGCCAAGGCCCCATTTTCTGTTTGTTTTATTTTTTTATGTTGAATTTCCTTTTGGCAGTTTAACCTTTGAAATGACAACTAACAATAAAGCTGCTCTTGCAAATCCCCCTCTTTTCAACCCTCACCACGGGGCTTAGCTAACCTTTTTCCCTCCCTGACTCTAAGCTAATCGTAAAAATATCCCACTTTTTTTGTCCCTCCACATGACAGCAGAGAGGTGTTTTTATTGACCTATAAACACAATTTTGTCTTTGTGATTATGTACATTTCAGTATGTGACAAATGGGACACAAAGTATGGCTACAACATGCTGTGAGGCTTTACAAAGGTCTCCTCTGCCATCCCATGTTATCACTGACACCAACTGGCTGACCACTCATTAAGGTCTAATTTGTTTAAAGTGTCGAACCCCTTTGGGTGTTTCTAGATGATATCAACACTGATTACAAAACTGATGTCATTAAGCTGCCTTTTCCTCATTATGTCGTTATAGATACATTTAATCATTTGCTTCATATAACCTTGTTTCAGCCCTTATATGAAATGTAGTTTTCCTACTCACTGAAAACAAATGAGCCAATTCTGGTCACTTATGTGGAGAGGTTTAAAATGGGATGTACTTTTCTTTATATTGGTTGTTTGTTTTTCCTTTTTTAGTCACGTCTTCTCATTTCTTTTTCAGAACTGTACAGTTCTCAACAACACAGTAATGGTGTGTCTGGCGCCCTCTGTGAATGGTTCTGACAAAAGCTTTTCGGAAGTGGGAAGCAGTCCAGATGAGATTGGTTTTGTCATGGATGGTGTCCGCTCTGTGCTGGTGGTGAACGAGACGTTCAGCTACCACCCGAACCCTGTGTTTGAACCTCTGAGCTCTACAGGCAAGCTGGAGCTGAAACCCAGCTCTCCACTCATACTCAAGGTAGGTGGCCTTATGCATGTAGCATTTACTATTAGGGTATTATGTCATCAAAAAACTGTCAAACTAAATGAGTCAAATCTGGTTATTTATTAACAGGGTTCCTGCAGATCCTTAAAAAGTCTTAAAAGGCATTGAATTCATCAATCCAAAAAA